TAAATACAAAACCTTATTCTGTTCTTTTTCTTAAAGAATAAATCAATACTTGACTTACCAATATAAATGTTTAATTTTTATTTTTATAAACGAAATTAATGTTACGGTAAAATTTATGAAACGAATGGCGCAGTAAAATTTATAAACGAAACGAATGGCGCAGTTAAATTAATTGGACTTGTCACGTGACTGTACATCATCCAATTGCATAGCGATTTTAATGCAGGGGGTACGAATAACAGCCGCCTAAAAAAAATATAAAAAAGTAAATTAAGATCATTTTTAAAAAGAATTCCCAACATTCATTTTGCATAGTAGGATGAGTAATATCATTTATATATCATCTAAATAATCATAATTATTAGTCAATTCCTCCTCTTCCTTTAACATATCTGTCTAATCTTAAAGATATTTACCAAATTGATTTTTCATATTTCAGTAATATCAAGACTAGATTTTGTGTATTAAATAAAATAAATATAAAAAGTTAAGAGTAAAGGTTAGTAAAAATAGCATTAAGATAATTTCTTTGTTGACTTATATTTAAACTTATATTATATGATTTTTAATTATAATAATTATAATAATTATTATATAAGATATTTGCAATAGAATCTGTTAGAAAAATCAATTTATTTTATATATCAGATATGATTTTTAGCAAATATAGCATTAATCCTATAATATGTTTTCTATAAATTATTATCTATAGCAATTAAATCATTGTAAGTTAGTTTATTCACATCGGGCTTTTTTTTCTAACCAATGTATGCTACATGCGGGTGGTGTAACGCTGCTAAAATGAATTGTGTTACGCTACTTTTTTTGCGTTGTATTATCTCCAAACTTTCACGTGACTTGCTGCCTATCGTGAAACGTAATTCGCATCTCTTAAAAAAAAAAAATATATATTTTATATATATATATAGATCATTTAATTTCACTGACAATTCGTGTATTGGATCTAACGACCCTTCAACTAATTTATATTAGGTGGGCACAACCCATATAAAAGATCATGTTATGTATTTGATTTTGTCTTATCAAACTATTGACACTTGATTTTTTCCTTTCAGAATCTATTTAATTACTTATAATGGAAGAACAGATAGAACAAGCGGTAGCTTATGCATTAAGTCCCACAGCAGATCAAAGCCTGAAAAATCAGGTTGGTAGTTGGAAATCAAAGGTTCCTCTGGTAAAATGGGTTTGAGTTAATGTTAACAGATAGTTGGAGAATTGTTATGACGCGTAATATTGTTAAAACGGGGTGAAAAACTTTGAGTTTCCTTTGTCAAATTTTTTTTTATCAATTAGTTCCTTAATTATTCCTTAACTTCCATAATTTTTCAAATCAATAATAATAAGAATAATGATAATTATAATGATAATGATGATAATAAAAAAAAGAAAAAAAATTTCTAAACATCTAATCAAGTGACCTAATGATGTATATGTTTTTCTCGTTTGTTGGTTTGATTTATGATATCGATTGTATTTTAGGCTATCAATTTTTGCGATCAAGTAAAGGTATCTCCCGATGGTTGGCATTTATGCTTATCTTTGTTCGTAAGGTTTCCAAAAAGGTTGGTGTGTCCATTGTTTTTACACACTGACCTTGCATTTTGATTTTATAAAAACAAGTTGAATTTAGAATAGATACTATTATTATAACTTACTCTTAATTAACATCACAGTTACCTTCCATCCTCCCTCTTTTAATATAATATATGTGCAAACTATTTATATCGAATTTTCTCTAATTCAGTACACCAGAGGCTCGTTTGTTTGCTTTACAAGTTCTGGAAGATGTGATGCAAAATAGGTATACCGAATAAACTAATGATATAGCATCATCCTACTTGTCAATTTCTTTCTTTATTTTATAATTACTTATTTTGATTTAAAATATTCAGATTTTTGAGTCTTAACAAATCACAAGTTATTCAGATTCAATCCACATTAATGGAATTCGTTAAACGAGAATATGTGATTGGAGAAGGCGGTGGAGTTGATCTTGGTGCCGAACCATTATGTTAGTTATTCTTAAATGAGATATTTGTGAATTTTTTTTTTCCTAATAATCAAAATCAAATTTTTTTTTTTTTAATGCAGACCTGAAGAACAAATTTGCCCACACTTTAACTTTACTTTTCATTCAGATGTATCCTTCGGATTGGCACGATTTTTTCGATCAGTTTCTGGAACTACTTCAAACAAATACGGTGAATGGAAGCAAGACAAATATTCGTACAGTAGACATTTTTTTGAGAATATTAATGTCAATTGATGAAGAAGTTGCAAATATAGTAGTTCCGAGAGGAAAAGATCAGGCTCATAGAAATACAGCAATCGTTCGTATTCTGCTATTCTTTATTGTCAATTTTCTTCATTTTGCAAGAAAATCTTTTAATATCATTTGAAATGATCTCTTGCCAGAAAGACAATATGAGAGCAGGCGATATACAAAAGCTCACATCTACTTGGTATGAAATATTGAGTGATTATCGTGCTCGAAATCCAGAGATTGCCGAAATGTGTTTAAAAGTAATTGGTCTTTACATTGGTAAAGTACATTATTTTGTTTTCTAAAAATAATAATAATAATAATAATAATAATAATAATAATATAATTTGATTTTTTAATGATTATTATATTTTATAACGCTCACTTTAGCTTGGATTGATATTAATTTAATCGTGAACGACGCATTTATTACGCTTTTATATGAGTTATTGACCGATACGAAGCTTCGAATTGCCGCTTGTGAATGCTTGTCAGAGGTGTTTTGCGTGTTTATTTGAATTTTCTTTTGAATTAATTATTATATAATAATCTTAAGGATTTCTTTTGAAATAGATTGTATATAAAGGAATGAAACCTGTAGAAAAACTCAAATTGATTGAGTTTTTAAGTTTGACTAATATTATGGGAAGTTTGGAATTTGTAAGTAGAATTAAATACATTTATATATTATTTTTCTTTATATTATAAAACGGTTTCAAATCGGATTCATTTTTATAGACAGAAGATATTGATTTTGTGGAACATGTTGCAAAATTAACTAATGTTTTAGGTGTAGAATTATGTAAAATCTGGGAAGGGGTATAAAGATTTTAATGATTTACTAATTTTGTTTATAATTATTTTGAGAAAATTTTTTAAATCATTTCACATTTTCAATTGTAAGGCGGATACTGAAACAAAAACTATAGCTTACAATCAAATAGAACTGTTACTTCCATTTTTATTAAAATTTTTGGCGAATGAATATGATGACGTATCTTGTGCTGTATTTTCATTCGTATCAGCTTTGCTGACGTTTGTAAGTCTTCAATTTAAATTTGTTATTTATATTTCTAATAATTTATTTCATTTTAAATAAAACTTCGTAATTTTTAGTTTAAAAAGCAAAAGAAGCAAGTTGGATCTTTAACTGGACCACAGCTTGAATTTTTAGATTCATTACTTAAAGTCATTGTCATTAAGATGAAATATGACGATGAAACAGATTGGGAAGGGGCAGAGGATGAAGAAATGGAAGAGGCCGAATTTTTAGAGATGCGAAAGGTAAAATTTCATTTATTGTTATTATGTAATAATTTTTTTGACAATTTTTTGATACATAATTTTCAAATTATTTAGAATCTAAAAGCATTTTTTGATGCAATTTTTAATATCGATGAAAGTTTATTTACTTCTTACGTTCATACTGCTGTGGTTAATACCCTAGAAAAGTATCAAATGGTTGAAAATTCAGTTGACTGGAGAGAACTCGAATTAGCTTTACACGTGTTACTTTTATATGGAGAGGCATTTAAGGGACCGTTAGTTTTCGTAATGAAACATAATAATGAAATCGTTGCATTTACTCCTTTAGGACAGATGGTTTCAAGAATGATTCAATGCAGTAAGTATATGATGCATTTAATTTATTATTCAATGATAATTTACGTATAAAAAAAATTTTGATTAATAAATATATATAAATATTTATTAGATGTTTCAACATTTCAACACCCAGCAATACCTTTGATATTTTTTGAAAACGTAGTACGATACTATCAATTTTTTGAAGTGCAACCAGATTGTATTCCCAGTATACTCGAAGCTTTTGTGGATTCGCGTGGGTTACATAATAGTATTTTACAGATTCGTACTCGATCTTGGTACCTGTTCTATCGTTTTGTGAAATTGCTCAAATCAAGAATGGGACCCTATGTGGAGAATGTGTTGACTAGTATTCAGGTTGAAATGCGATTCGAGATTTGGCAAAGTTTCCGAAAATCAAGACTTACAATCTCTATCAATATTTAGGATTTATTGATAGTACAAGCTGATCTTTCTTCAGTAGACGCATCAGAAGGGGCTATAACAAGAGATCAAGCAATGGAAGGAGGATTTGATGATCAAATTTACCTTTTTGAGACCGTTGGTACATTGATCACAGTCGAATCTATTCCTGCTGATCGTCAAACGGAATTTGCAAAGGTAAATTCATAATTGAATTTATTAGATTCTTTAATTTTCAAATTATACGTTGTACTTCATAATAGTATTCTTTGACCATATTTCAGATTGTTATTAGTCCTCTGCTGGCAGATATTGAAAGAAATTTAACCACAGAATTGTCGGAGCCTAAAGATCTTAATGTACTTCAGCTGCATCACTTGATTATGGCAGTTGGTAGCATTGGAAAAGGTTTGCTTTTCTCACCTTTTAAATATTTACATATATTCAAATTGACTATAATAATTCATTTATAGGATTTCCAGAAGCTCCAAAAAATGAGGCGCCAAATGCTCAGTGGGTTGTATTACTCAAACAGTCTACTGAAGCTATATTAGTCGTGCTTAAAGCTTTAAGTCGGTTTGAAATCATTCGAGATGCCGTAAGTGATGAAATTCATTTTTTTTTTAATATATAAAGATTATCTATTAATAATAGATCATATTTATTATTTTAGGCAAGGTTTGCATTTGCAAGACTTGTAAATATTCTCGGTGTAGAGGTTTTGCCTTATCTTCCAGAATTAATTACTGGATTGCTTAATGAGTGCCAAGTCTCAGAATTATTGGATTCTTTACCTTTTATTGGACTACTATCTTATAAATTTAATGTATATTTTTCTTTAAATCTTTCTATTATTTCTATCCTTATTGAGACACTAACAATTATTTTTATCGAATATATTTTTATTAGCCATCAATTTATGATATTTTAAATGAGTTAATTGGTCCTTTGATTATTAAAGTTTTTTTTGTTTTAAATCAAACGCCATCTGGAACGGATGAAGCAGTGCTATTATTGAATCTTCGAAAAGCATATCTTAGTTTTATATTAAGTCTACTAAACGGTGGAATGGATGCAGTCTTTGTTAGTGATTGTAAGTGGTTTTCCCTTCATTTTCTTTTACGTCGTAACCTCCAAGATAATAGTAGATTAAATTCTCATTTAATTTGATTGTTAGTAAATCAACCGCGCTTGGAAAATATACTTCAAAGTGTTGTTCATTACGCGAGTGATCTCGTTGATTTACCATCGGCAAGAACTGCTTTTAGTATCCTTTCAAAAACGGTAACATTATGGGGTAGCCTCCCCATACAGACTTCAACAAATAACGTTGACTCTGGTCGATCTCTTCCTGGCTTTGAACAATTTATGTATGAGCACATATTGCGAATTTGTTTTGAAGTTCCGATGAAGCCTGCATTTAACATAACAGATGGACAATCAGTTCTGGTATATATAATAAATATTATACTTCAAACCATTATAATGAAACGATCTATTAATTTTTTTTTTTTTTTAAATAACTTGCCAGGTATTAAATGAAATACCAGGTATAATTAGGACTATGTATTCGCAACGAGGACACGAGTTAATTGATTATTTAAGAAGAGTTTGGTTACCACAAAATCTTGCTGATGAATTTGTGCAGGCTCTACAACAATTGGATCAAAAAGGATTCAAAACATATTTTCGGGTATTTGTTAATTTTATATACAAGATAATAATTATTATATCACAATGAAAATTGACAAATTAATTTTTTTAATTGCAGACATTTGTTCAACGATCAAAATCATGAGACATGTAAGGTTAATAATGAATTATTTGAGTACCATTAAAAAAAATAAAGATGCTAGTTAAATTATGTATATTTTCATTTGACTGGATAATTATAGAGGGCAGTATAATCATTTAGTTTAGATAATCTTGATAAAAAAAAAAAAAAAAAAAAATTTTTTTTTTTTTTTGATTTTTGTATTTTGCATATGATCAATTATTAAAATCAAAACTCATTAATATGTTAATTTTTTTTTTAATTAATAATATCTTTCCGAATTTGTAGTAATTATTAGAGCAAACGCCCAAATGTGAACGTCTTATATTACAAAAATGTTAACCTAATTTTGTCATTTTAAACTTAATTATAAAGCTACTACTGGTAGATGTGCAATTTTTTATGTAGTCGCTTTTTGTTGAACATTAGGATTAATCTTTTTGCCATCTTTGTTATATCGAATTCTTGGTGGTGGAGCACGATTACGACGACCTTCGCGTGATCTTACTCTAACTACATGAGAGTGTATCGCACAAGAAACGCAGTAATGTAGCTTGATATATAATTTTGGGAGGGCGTATTCTTAATCAATTTTACAATGTTATTACCAACTTAGTAATAATTTATTTGTGAGAAATTAACAAATAAATTCAAAAATCTGTAAAAAATACCTTGGTAAACAGAAGCATCGGTAATATCACGAATAGCTGCACTTTCTACCATGTTACGAACAGTAAAGCGTTTAATAGCCTTGTCCTATATGTATAAATATATTTGTATATTAAAAAAAATTAAATAGATTACTCATTAAAATTAGATTAAAGGACTTGTATTTGTCAATGATTTGTACCTTTGGAACGCAGCGAGCGCAATTAGAACACCGCACTGGCTTGACATGACCACGTCCATGTTTGTTACGTCCGTGATTTCTTCTCTTTGTGGTCTTAACGGGTTTAATCAAAAGATATTTTTTAAAATTTTTAATAGCAGTATAGATAAACAAAAGTTTAAAAGAAATGCTAATTACTCAAATACTCACCATCGTCAAACAGTACAATTGGATGGAAGTGAAAGGAGGAACTTTGATTAAAGCGTTTTTTCGGTTTTTATGATTATCAGTTCATCGTTTATACACGTGATTTTCCCTCATCTAAAATATTATGCGATAGCCCGGCCGGCATTACGGCATCAAGAAAATTTATTTTTTAATTTGATCTAAGCAAGCCGGAGAATGATCCTCTTGCAATTCGGCTAAAGATTTGATGCACCGTTGAACCTGTAGAAGAAAATAGAAGCACGGCAGAAGCGTAATACAAAAAATGCCCGGCTAACTCATAATTTGCCAAGAAATTTATATTATTCGATGCACAATGCAATAAAATATTATCACATCTCCCGCATGTAGCATACACAAGTCAAAAGATTATATGTATATAAAAAAAATTACATGTGCGTGAGGAATTCACACTGATCATTTTTGCCAAGAGAAAAATTTGAGATTAATATAACCAACCAATTACTATTATTAATATTTAACACATGCTTTACTCTGACTAGATTATATGAGATTTTGTATATTTCGGGAAAAAATAATCCATAAGATTTGCAGAAAAGCCTTTCAATCATCTTTGGAATCAAAAACGTCCATTCCACATCGGACAGTTCCTGTGTCTTACTCACAAGTTGATTAAATTTTGGTGAACCGAGGGTATTACGTTTGAAGATTGCCTTTGGTGATGGTGGGCTTGGATTACAAAGCTTACTGTATAAAGTATCAAATGACTTGCAAAAAATCTCTTGCACTCTTAAAAGAGTTTCTATTTCATTAACAAATAAATTCATCTCTTTGATTAAAGAAGGAATGTATAATTGGCCGATATGGATCATCATATACATTCCTTGGATGAGATCCATCATATAGAAGTCTATTTTGTTCTCAAAATAGACAAAGTGGTTTAAAATTAATCATAGAGAAAAAGCAAAATTAAAGTATTAAAATTTACCCTACCGACACATTGAAAGCCTAAAACCTTCAAGTCCGTACCCTTTTCTATGCCTGAGTCCAAACAATCTTATATGAAAACACAAAACGAATTAGATCCTTACAATTCTTATATACATTGTTCTTTTATGAAGGTGGACTTACTTCGCCCACAAATATGACACCGCATGTCTGCAATTGATGAATCACAGTTACTACGAAGTCTGGTTGTTTGGATCTTCCTTCTGACTTCCTCGCCTTGCTTTCATCAAGACTTGTATTGGGCCATTCAACAATGTGTCTGTTGGGATCATGCAACATCTCCCTCATTACGTGATCTAAATAGTTTGTTACCAATGTCATTTCACTAGGATCATTTTGATCTTCGTAAAGGGTAATGACCTTATACAGTCCAGGATTACAAAGCCCATATTATCCTTCAAAGGTTTATTATTGGAAAGTTCAACCATCAACCAATCCGTAGCATAACTAAATGATTATTTTGTTACTCGCTTTATTGCATCCCTGAACTTTGCTTCACACTCTAAATCCAATGCAGTTTGCTGTGTCGGGATAATTCGTTGGTGAATCTCAACTAATAGTGGAGAACCAATATATCGATCATTTTTTTTTTCGAGTGCGAATCGGGGATAAGCAAGAAAATCGATGAAAGTGAAAATATTTCATGGACGCTCGACTCAACAAATAAACCTTCTGTTTTTGCATATTTATGGAATTGTTCTGATAGTTCCGGAACAAATGAGACACGTTGGTCTCTTCTATCTTATAATCATCAGCTGAGTCTCCGTCCATAAAGCATAGATCATCAACATCATCTATTATTAAGATAACATCTACCTCATCTTTCTCCAAGAATGGATTATTGATATGATCGACGAGCATTGGAGGCTCTACCGGTGAATTGTTTAATGCTGGGCTATGAGACATTGGCGTCGTATACCCGACTTGGCAATACTGCTTTGGAATATCATCCGGTAGCCCAACAACAGGCGGTTCCTCATTATTTTTCACATCCTCAAACGGTTCTTCATGTTGAGTTTCAAGTCGTGGGAAATAATCATTGATCTATTTTTTTGTACGTTCGTTTTTGTCTGTTCACTCTAAGTATTAAAATACAACATGATTAGTTATGATCCTCAACTTTTGGATACATTATTGATAGAAGATCTGCCGTTAATGTTTCCAGCATTTTCAACCAAAGGATTTCCCGTAAATATTGGATTATTAAGGTGAACGGAGGGTCTAGCTTGTTCACGCTTGTGCTTCTATATTCTCGATAAATGATAATCGGGTTGGGCGCCCTAACAAAGAAAACCCAAAGAATTAGAAAATCCTCATCCCACCAGGTCGGCTTAGAGGCTTGACGTCAGACAAGCTTTGAGATTGTCTGCGTCCCAACACTAGCTTCGTGGCTCGGCTTTGAAGACTTGAATGGCAGAAAGCTTTGAAGGTCCCTGCCACGTCACCAAATAACTATTTAGTACTTACTCGCCTTTATATATCGATCAAACAGTAACTTTGCTCGTTTACATCTTTCATCTTTTCCATTATTTATTATACTCTCAAGTGACATAAGGTAACATCCTATTCTGTCCCTGAATGATTCCACTCCATATTCTTTAAGGAAATCCGTAATGTTCCAATCATCGGGTTTACGGTTGAAGTATTTATGCGCCATGAGTTGAAAGAAACGATTTTTTTTTTTTCAGTCTACATTTCTAAACGCGATGCGAAATATACGGAACGCGTCCTAAATTCATATCTTCCCCAGTATCACCACCAAAAATTCTACCCCCACGTGATCATAGAAATATTTGTCACCCCGCGTCACACCCTCCACGTTTTCCATTTTCATAAGTATTCTGGGAACTTTGAATTTTTTCGGAATGCGAAATCATATTCGTTATCTTTTATATGTCACATAGTTAATTTCTTAATGCCGTAATGCCGGCCAAATGTCACGTGGGGTAGAATTTTTTGTGGGTAAATCTAAAGAGCGTCCTTATCCTAGACCCCTGGTTCAGGAAGAAAATTATAGACCCCCAGGGTCTAGGCAAATTAACTTAGACCTCCCTCCTTTTTTAGTAATTCCAAAATTGGTAAATAGATTGGAATTTTTTTTTTCTTTAAAAACGAGACAAAAAATGAAACTAATTTAATAAATAAAATTAAAAACAAGAATGAATAGTTTTACTTAAAATTTCTGGATAATACTGTAGATGAAATATTAATACTTTAATGAAATTAAAAGATAAAACTTCATATTTATCACTTATATATAGTACTGAATATATTTATTGAAAACTTTAGTGGAATTAAAGGTGATTTTGCATTCAATATTTATGAACAGTACTAAAAATGATATATATTGGTAAGTTATAATATTTTAATAGTAGGTAAGGGCGGTCTTTTTAAACGAGCAATTAAAGCATTTCTTACTTAATTTCTATTAAAGAAAATATTAAAATTCTTTAAAGGTAATGTACAATTTAATCTTTAAATTAGTTTTCTAAAGGAAAATTTGTTTGTTTATCTACATAAAAATACATTAACACTTTCATTATTTTATTTATATAATTTGTTTTTGAAATATTTTATGTTTCTTTTAAAATCAAAAAATTATATTATATAGAATTTATTGTATATATGCATTATATTTTATTTTTTTTATACTTAATAAATGTATATTTTTTTAATTAAATAATAAATTACGAATCATCTTAAAATTATTATTATTATTATATTTTTTTTTTTATACAATAACTTGTAATCCGGTAGTAATAATATTAAAACAAATATTTTTACATTTTTTAAATAATTAGTTAAGCAAATATAAAAATCTTCAAAATTTTTAATTTTAATTTTCACAATTATCATCATGAATATATAAACTAAAATCAACACTATCAATCATTATTTCTTTTGCATTATTTAAAAAAATGCCTTTATAATTCTCTGTAATAAGTCTAATAGCAGTTTCAGGAACCAAAACTTGAGATAAGTATTGGGATGAAGATTGCGAAATACAAAGATCTACAATTAGTATTTTAGTTCGAATAAATAATTCAGTTAAAATTTTTAAGATAATTGCTAAGCCTTTAGGTCCATAATATCTAGGCTAAAAAAATATAATTGATTAAATTATTTCATATTTTTAAATAAAAATATATTTCTGATTTATACTTACTTGTAAAGATTCAAAATAATTAATTTGAATTAATGGATTGTTAACTTTTGATAATCCTATTTCTTGAATTTTTTTAATTGCATTTACGCAATATTCACTATATTTTTATCCCTTTATAATTTTTAGTAATTCTGATTTCAAATTTGTAATCTGATTAGATAAATTTACAAAATTTATATATAATGGAAATCCTTTTTCTATTTCTATAAGAAATAATTATTTCTTCTTCTTTATGAATTCGACAAAACTCATATTGTTCAATTATAGTATTAGCAGATACTATAATATAAGTTTAAAATTAAACTATATTATATTATTAAAAGGCATTTATATAAAATTTAATATAATACATACTTTTTCCTATTGAAATATTATTTAAATATTCTGATACTTTCAATGGCAATGGATTTGATAATATTTCGTTACAATATGAACAATTATTATTATTTTGATATATTTCTAAATAATTATTAATAAAATAATATATTATAATAAAATATTTTTCATTAAATATAAATATAAATACACTTACCTAGGTTTGATTCATTAGAAAAAATATTAGATTCAAAAAACTGTGAAGATTAAGTAGTAGGTGAAGAAGAAAAATTTTGAATTTCATTTAATGGTTATGTTACTATATTTTGCGCTATATAAATAGATTCATAATTATCTAAATCAATTATAGATTCTAATATATTATTATTAGTATTTTCGTTAATTTTCTTCTTTTTTTTAGTTTTTCTAGCTGATTCTCCTATACCGGTGATTCTTTTATTAGATGGTCATCCTTTTTCACGAATGATTAATGGATTTTTTACTGTTGGTATAATATTTGAATTATTAAATTGTGTTTGTATTTCTTTTTCAATTTTAGAAACAAATACTTCATTAAAAGAAGTATAAAAAGTTATAGCCGATATAGAATTTTGCATTACAAATTGTTGTATTTTTTGTAATAATTGAGTAAGCATATATTGATAATCTTGATTATCATTAGATAAAGTTATTGTTGATTCTTGTAAAGTCGTTGATGATTCTTGTAAAGTTGTAATTGTATTTGAATATAATCTAATATAATTATTAATAAGTTCCTTTTCACTTGAATTTTTTCTCCATCTTTTATAAAAAAGGCTAGTTGGAAATTCATTCAAATTTAGTTGTATTACAACTCTTAAAATATGCTGACATATAAAATCTGAAAATTGAGTATATTCATATGTACATGTGAAATGATTAGAATTAAAACTATTTGTCTATTTGTTTCTTTTTCATATCTTTATACTTAAAAAATTATTTCAAAATTATTTGTTTGGCTATTTATATTTAAAAAAAAATAATCTTTAATAAAATATATAATTAAAA